ATCCGCCCTGCTCTGTGCATGACAGGGGGCGGCGCCCCAACTCCCCAATTGGCCCTGCTCTGAGCCCGACCAGGGGCTGCACCTAGGGATTGGGCCTGCCCTCTGCCACCCGGGAGCAGGCCTAAGCCAGCAGGTCGTTATCTCCCGAGGGGTCCCAGACTGCGAGAGGGCACAGGCCGGGCTGGGGGAACCCCCCCTCCCTCGCCCCCCGAGTGCACAAATTTTTGTTCACTGGGCCTCTAGTATACATATAAATGCACATATACACAGGCACATATATATCCATGTTTTCAAACTCTTTAAGGAATTCCAAACTAGTGCCTTTTTAGACTTTATCATACCAAACATAAGGACTCTTGAGCTTATTCAAATCCTTCGGCCCTTTGCTTCTCTTACATCATTTTTTTTATTATTAACTAGAGGCCCGGTGCACGAGATTTGTGCATGGGGGGAGGTGTCCCTCAGTCTAGCCTGCACCCTCTCCAATCTGGGACATCCCTCTCACAACCCGGGACTGCTGTTCCCAACCACTCACCTGCCTGCCTGCCTGATTGCCCCTAACCACTCCCCTGCCAGCCTGATTGACACCTAACTGCTCCCCTGCTGGCCCGATTGCCCCCAACTGCCCTCCTTTGCTGGCCTGGTCCCCCCCAACTGGCCACCCCTGTAGGCCTGGTTCCCCCCAACTGTCCTCCCTTGCCAACCTGGTCCCTCCCAACTGCCCTCCCCTGCCAGCCATCTTGTGTCCATATGGGGGCGGCCATCTTGTGTGTTGGAGTGATGGTCAATTTGCATATTACTCTTTATTAGATAGGATTGTGCTGAGTTTGGGGAAAGCTTCAAAAACTATCTACAAAGTATAAAACTACTGTACATATAAAAGAGCCCCCATCTTTTTCATCAGACAGTATATATTTCTGAAATTAATCTCAGATTACCAATATTCTTTCCTTTTTCAGTCTGGATTATCTTCAATTTAAATTTTCCTTGTACTTTGGCTCAGGCTCTTTAATCTTCAAAGATTTATACTTTCGCATTCCCAAGGACATGCTCCTCCATCAGGTTTAATGTGAATGTTAAGGGGAATTATGTTTTGTTGATCAGGTTCTATTTTTAGTGTGCTGCAGACCATTCCTGGGATCATATTTCTTTTACTTGGGGCCTTAGCAATGCACAGAGGCAATTTGAAATGAGAAACTAAAATGTACCCATTTGCATACTAAATGTACAATGTTGTCTATATTGTATGCCCCATACATCAAAAGGTTTCAGGTTCAATTCCCGGCCAGGGCACATACCTGTATTGCGGGTTCAATTCCCAATCAGGGTGTGTGTGCAAGGCAGCCAATCTATGTTTCTCACATCAAGTTTCTCTCCCTCTCTCTAAAATTAAAAGAGAGGGAGGAAGGGAGGGAGGGAAGAAGTAACTGGTCTAAAAGGCCAATTTAAATTAGCTGGATTATACCTGGCAGTAGTCCCAGGCCCATCTTAATTCCCTGATCCATGAACAAGTCACCAGCATTGCTGGCCAGCAGTCATCTGTGTGAGATGAGACCTGACCATGGAGTTGTTTATGTCCTTCCCTGAGTCGCTACTTGGGGGAGCATCATCTCCTTCATACCTGTGAGGAAAATGCTTTTAGAGTTAATATCCATCAGGGCTTACTGTGTACCAGGTCCCCCTCTAACTCTAGATGGGTTATCTCATATGTTTCTCCTGAAGGAAATACACCAACATGCCCATACTGGCTCTTGTGTTTTTCAGGGCATATATTTCTTTTCTTTATTTCCCATAGATTATATTACTTTGCAGTGGAAAGAAATGCAAAGAGCACAATTATTGGAAAATAATAAAGACTGACAAAATGCTTTGCAATTTTTAAGCATTTTCCACATGACCTTATGTGTTTAATACTTCCAGAAACCATATGACACACTTATTTTACTGTTGAATTATTTCAGTTGAAAATGTAAAGTCAGCTTATTTGCCTGAGGTCACACAGCTACTAAAGAACTGAGCCAGAACTTAAACTCAGGACCTCAGACTCCCAGACTCTCTGCACCAAATTCCCTTTCTCAGAGGCTCTAACTTTGGCTACATCCTGGAAAGCCACCCCTCACCAGATTTGAAAGATAGCCTCTTCTCATAGGTGAGGGTTGACTTTCTCTGTTCTTAAAGTTAATCTTGCTTGACTAGCAGCCATGTATCACATATTTTCTCCCAAACAGTTCTTTCTCCAGGATTAATAAAAAATGTGGCGATTTCTGGAGTGATTTCCTCTCCATGGAAGACAGAGAGCTCCCTGTGTAGGAAGGCCAAGTGCAGGGTTATTTCCTTGGTGTCCTTGGAAGATGTCTATAGGCTTTGACCTTGTCTGAATAATGGGAAGAAATTTTCAGATTTATACACTTTTTATACAGAGATTTATACAGTCCTCAGAGCCCTTAGGCTTACAACAAGGTTTCCTACCTTATGTTTAATAGTACTTTACAGTGTTTGCCACTGTCCCACATCAGCAGCTAGATGAATCTTCACAACAACCCTCTAAGGCAGACCACAAAGGGGTTTTCTGTTTCAGAGATGGTCACAGTGAGGTCGCACACACTGGCGGTGGCAGTGCTGTGCTGCCCATCCCCCTCAGGCCCAGGCCCCTTTCCTTTTTGCCTCCTCAGGATTCTTATCCATGCCATTGATTATGTGGCTCTATGGCCTTTTACTCTTTAGTAGTCTGATTTAATTGTGAATTTTATTTTAAGAAAGAAAACTCAGATTTCTTCTGCTTCATCTTCTTGCTCTATTCACAATGAATTCTGCAGGTCAGTTTATCCTCAGCAGTGGTGAGCCAGAATTTCAGTAAAGCTTCTACTTAGCTGGTGCATTCACAAGTCAAATATTTAATTCAGCTGTCGGCTTCTTTGCATTTACTGTGCTTTCGTTAATACATGTATTTTGATGGCCTCACATTAATCCAGCCTGTTTGAGAAGGGAAAAACACCAAATGTGATTTACAGAGGAGTCAGCTTCTTCACAGACACTGAAAGAATTGTTATCTTACACTTGTTTTAATCAGAATATGTGAAAATTAGTCACGTTATTAGTTCTTTTAAAAGAAAACAAAGAATAAGCTTAGATCAGCGGTTCTCAACCTGTGGGTCGCGACCCCTTTGGCGGTCGAACGACCCTTTCACAGGGGTCGCCTAAGACCATCCTACATATCAGATATTTACATTATGATTCATAACAGTAGCAACATTACAGTTATGAAGTAGCAACGAAAATAATTTTATGGTTGGGTCACAACATGAGGAACTGTATTTAAAGGGCCAGAAGGTTGAGAACCACTGGCTTAGATCCATTAGTTGCTTTAAGAACACCTGCTATGTGCCAAATATTCTAGGCACTAGGAATGCAGCTGTCAACATGGCAGACAATATACTTGCCTTCAGGAAGTGTTTGTTCTAGAGAGCAGGTAGATGGACATGTCGGGTAGTGCTGGGGCTGTGGGAAAGGCTGGGCCAGGAAGTGGACAGAGCCCTGGGGATGTGGGTGGTCAGAAAGGTCTAACCTCTGTCACATCTTATCTACACTATGGCATAGGAATCTGATTTCCATCAACTTTTTTCCTGGTAACTTTTAGCTTCAGAATAAAGTATGCTTGACTTTGTACTTAGTGACAAGTCAGCTTATAGTCATTATCCTTGTTCGGTGGCATTCTTCAGAGGATATTAGGGACTACTACTTCAGCAAGTCTATATTTATACTTTTTATACATTGGAAGTCCTACTGTTTAAAAAAAAGGAGCCACTTTTTAAAAAGAAAACAAAAGGAAAAGAGAAAAATGGTTTAAGAATTATTTGTTAGAATCTCGTTTTTGTGTGTTTCATGTATTTTCTTTTTTTTTTTTTTCTAAAATGATGGTATTTGCTCCATAACTTTGGGGCAACCTTAACATTATTTTGTATTTCACTCCTTTAAACACTGGGGGAAAAATATGTTTCTTACCAATCCACTCTCTAGGAGCCCTAGAAAATCACCAAGGCTGGCCACCACCAAAACCCCTCTCTCACCTGAGGTCTTCTCTCAGGAGCAAAAATGCACAGCTGGTTCTTAGAGGACTAAACCAGCCAGCATTGCTTTTCTGTTCTAGGAGGTACAGATGGTGCTTGGGACTTCAGGGGACTCCTTCTGCGGGATACAACATGTTTTCCTTTTCTCTATAGGTGGCAGCACAAAGACAGAAAAGGAACAAGTGACAGCAAGTTCACTCAAGGCCCGGCTGCTTCGCGTGTAATTTAAGACTCTCCCAAAGGGCTACAGCTTTTACTTCTGCACTTTCTAGAAAATCACCAGATGCCAAACATGTACATTAAAGACCTAACCACAAATGCTGTATTTCTTTGATCAACTGCATGGTTAGGTAGGCAGTGGCACTCTCAGAGTGTGAGCCCGTCTGTAATCTTAGAAATTTAAGCCACATCACCCCTCTGCCCCAGACCTGTCCCATAAAGGTGTGGATTTTTACAGTACAGTACTTCAGACTTCAAAATATTGGGAGAAGAAGGCTCATTGTGAAATTCAGGTCATTTCTTAAGCCTGACCACCTTGGCCTGTTCTGCTTTCTTGGGCTTAGGCGAGCATGTGGTGGATGTGTGGTGACCATGTGTGACCATGCATACCTGGTGATTGTAAGTGCTAGATTCTATACTAAAAGCTTTGATGAACTGATTTTCTATCCTTATTTTTTTAAATGGCTGCTTGTAATTCATAACAATACCTGAACATGTGCATTTTATTACCTGCTGGAGTTATAAACATTGCTTCATTTTTAAAAGATTTATCCAATATGTGTATTATTACTTTTTAGAGTGAGGGCATAAGATATGGGGGAAAGTTGGAAGTAGATACCAAAAAGTAATTTAGTGTGGGGAGTTCTGACACATAGTGAACATGTATTAGGGGGTAGTGGGGGGTGTGGGTTGTGCAAACATGTTCAGGGGTTTGAGCTGGCTCATCCACTTGACATGCAAGAGGAATGGAGTAGAAGCCATGCCGGTGATCGTCCTGCATTCAAACGGGATCCCAAACCTCTTCTTCAGGAAATAATTTTTGTTTCTGATTATTCACACCATCAGGTGGTAGAATCTGGTTCTGGAAAGTACTCTGTAGTTTTTTACACACCTCCTTTCACACATAGAAATTTTTAATCTGGAGGAACTTTTAACATTCCGTGCTTCTATAGTTGATAAGTGAATTCTCCTCTCCGAAAACCCAATTCTAGGAAATCAGTTGTGGAATTCAGGATATATTACAGGCTTTCAAGAGGGAGCACTCCCCAGAAATTACCTGTTTCAAATCCAGGCCATTTGCGTAATCAAAAGCCTGACACATAGTTCTATATACAGATGTGGAGTTAAAATTTGGCTTGTTCTGTCTTCACCTTGCACAGTCCCAAACACTGCCCTTGCAGGTGTCTGTATATTTCAGCCCAAAGCAACTGCCAACACTGGAGTTTTCCTGCTCAGTATGTGGTGTGTCCGTAAGCAAATCGGTCAGCCTCTCAGGACCACATCTCAGGCAAGAGAGCTGCTAGTGTGATAGCTGTCCCTTATCTCCCTCCTCCAGGAGGACTTAACTCTGGGAAACCCCGGTGTGACACCATGCTCCCACATGTTTGAGGCTCCCCCAGTTTGATGAGAGCTTGCTGGGACAGTCCTGCATCTTCTACAGGCTCCATTTATCAACGATGTCAGCCCTCTGCCTGCCTCTCTCTGATGTTAGGATTCTCCCATGATAAACACGTACTACTATTATGTTAATACGGAAAAATAGTTAATTTATGTCATTAGTTTTTCTCAAAATTATAATTTAAAAAAGTCTTACTTCTCATTTAGTAAGTTTCTTGGAGGAAGAATCTATGTTTTACTGTTCTGTGCTTGGTATTCAGGTGGATGCTGACCAAGTACTACTACCAGTAATCAAGTAATTGTTCTCCTAGCCTCAGACACTTAAAGGTTCCAGACCCCTGCTCTTGATTCCTTGACTTCTTTCCTGGTCAAAAATATGTGTTTTGCTTTAAATTGTGTGTGTTTGACATGAGTATAAATGGTGAACTTAATTAATTTTGCTTTGAAGATTTACTAAGAGCCTTAGAGATTATTGCAAATGCTCTGGAGTATTTCACCACCATACCTGAGAAGTACTGTTCCTATAAAACTCAGGTGAGAAAAAAAGCAGGACTGAAGGAAGAGAGCAGGAAATAAAGTTTCACATTTGTTACTATGCAGCCTTTGCTGTTGTTTTTTTTTCTAGCAGATAGTGACCAAACTGTTCAACTTTATAACAATAACTGAGTCACCACGCACACATGCACACGCACACACACACATACCCAGCTTCCCGTGAAACCTGTCAGTGGTTCCTCCTGCTCTCGGCTGAAGCCTCCTCCTCCCCATGATCTCTGTGCCGTGCCACACGGAGCTCCAGCCCTCCTCTCTGTTAGAGCCACACTACTTTTTAGGTCCTCGCTGCACCCTGCCTACTCTGGCTACATGGCCTTTATTTACTTATTTTTCCCTATAATAAGCCTTTTTATGTTATAATAGTTTTAGCGTTACAGAAAAATTGGGAACACGAGTTCCCATATACTCTGTAACCAGTTTCCCCTATTATTAACATCTTACATTAGTGTGGTACTTTTGTTACCACATCATATTCAGGATATATTACACTTAATCCTCGTGTCTCCTTAGGCTCCTCTAGGCTGTGACAGTTTCTCACACTTGCCTTTTTTTTTTTAATCTTTATTGTTGAAAGTATTACATAAGTCTCCTTTTTCCCCACATTGACTTCTAGCCCACCCCCACCCCTCACCCCAGGCATTCACCACCCTACTGTGTGTGTGGATGGATTGTGCATACACGCATACAAGTTCATTGGTTGATCTCTTCCCACTGACCCTCCCCTGCCTTCCCTCTGAGATTCCACACTCTGTTCCATGCTTCTATGTCTCTGGATCTATTTTTGTTCATCAGTTTATTTTGTTCATTAGATTCCACATATGAGTGAGATCATGTGATACTTGTCTTTCTCTGACTGGCTTATGGCTGTTAGACTGTGCTGTTCTTCAAGCCCCTCGCTGATTCCCTATGCCCTGCTCTTCCCTCACCTCTCATCTTCCCTGGTCCACCATCTGGAAGCCTTAGCGAGACTCCCCTGAAATTCACAGACAGGGCAGACCTTCCTGTGTGAGCTGTCCTGGCACCCTGCACCTCTCTTCCTGAAACGGTCACAGAGACATGTTTATGTCTGCAGGGATAGTGATTGGATGAAAGTTTCTCTCCCCAGTTTCACAGAGCAGAGCTTCAAAAAGGCAGAGACCATTTCAGCTTACCATTCGTGCAGAAGAGTTAACACAGCGGGGCTGAGACGGCTGTCATTGCCTGCTTGCAAGGTTGGCCCTTGGCCTGAGAACTTGGCTGGTGAACAGCTCTTTATACTGATATGATCTGAGTGGCCCACTGTGTCTAAACTGCTTATACAAACAATGTGGTTTATGCTGAACACCTGCTTTCCTTCTGGGATCTGGACATTTGGAACGCGCTAGGCAGAGGGTGCTAGGTGTGACCAGGCCTCAGTGAAAACCTTAGGCTGGAGTCTCGAATGGGCCCTGGGCAGAAACACTGCATGCAGGTTGCTGCACTTTGCTGCTGCGGTGCACTCTGTGACCCTCACAGGAGGAGGGAGCGTGAGGAAGCTTGCGCATGATTCCTCCAGACTCCACTGGTGTCTTTTTCTCTTATGATTTGACTGTGTATCCTTACTACATACACCACTGTAGTAAATCTTAGCTGTTAATACAACTCTGTGCCGACTCCCACAGACTCCTTAGAGCAGATATTCAAGCATGGGAGTGGTCTTGGGGACCCTCACTGCACCATCATATCCCCAGAACCTTGTACAGTATTTGACCTTTAATAAGTGGTTCATTACCTATCTGTTGAAATGAAAATGAAAATGACCTGAGGACTAAGGCTAAATATGTCCTGTGGAAATTCTCAACAGAACTAAGAAATACTATCATTTATCAACTACATCCTAATGACCCAAATAAAGAATGTACATACTTCTGAAAAAGGCAGAATTAAAAAAAAAAAAAGTCAGGAAATCTAGTAGGTCAAAGCCTATCAGAATTTTTTTCACGAAGATGAATCTGTATCTGGGCTGGGGGAGGGGTGGAGAGATGGCAGGACCTTCACTTTCCCACAGGAGGTTGTCCTGGCTTTCCTACCCACCCCTCCCCCACCCCACCATCTGCAGTGTTGGCCAGTTCCATGTATAGTGACACCCAGTATTCAGAGCAGTGAGTGCTTCTCCACTTTGGTGGCGCATTGGGAATCACCTGGAAGGTTGTTTTTGTTTTTTGAAATATTGTTGAACGTATTACCGATTTCTCCCTTCCCCCCGCCCCCATTGATCCCCTCCTCTTGGCTCCCCTCACCACACTATTGTGATGCCAGGCCTCAGCCCTAGAGATTCTGATATAATTAGTCTGGGCACAGGGATTTCATTGTGTAGTCCCTGCTGACACCCCCACCCACCATCCCTCCAGCACCGTCCAATCCCCGCCTTTGACAATCATATTTCACAGGCTTCCACTCTGGTTTCCTGGCTCACAGCTAGTAGGCAGGCACACTGATAAGAGTAGGAAATAACACCGTTTATCCGAACAGTATAAGAAGGAGGCCAATTTCAGAAAGGTCACTGGTAAGAACATCCCTGTGGTGCAGAACAAAGTCATTCTTGAGAATGTTGTTTTTAATGACGACTAGCAGTCTACACCACCACTCAGCCCCGCCCTCCCCACCCCCAATATACACTTCACTTTATATGTAAGATGAAGTTCATTAATTTTATTTTGAATATTTGGTAAGAGCTCATTAGCAGTGATGAAGATGCATCTGTTACCTACTGTCTTAGGGATGCTTCCCCCTCCAGTAAATGTGAGCACACCCATTTCCATTTTAACCCTTCTCTAGGGAAGACAGGACTCTGAGATGCATCAGCTGTTAATTGGCAGAGCTGTGATCTATCTCCTTTGTAGCACCTGCATGGCTGCTCAGGGAATCCAGGAGCAGTGGCTAATAATTGGATGAGGTAAGGTTATCTATTTAGTAAATGGAAATGTTTTGTTCTCAAACAGAATGGAAGAGCCGAGAGAGAGAGAGAGAGAGAGAGAGAGAGAGAGAGAGAGAAAGAGAGAGAGAGAGAGAGAATGAGAATGAGAATAAAGGTTGCCAGGTATAGAAGGGTGGGCTCCATGGAGAAGGTTGGCCTGAGCTGGAATGACTGGGATTTAGACAGGTGTGACCCAAGGGGGTGAAGGGAGTTACCAGCGCATGCACCTCCCGTGCACCCCATCTGCCCTACTCAGACCTAGAAGGGAGTAGAGCTCAGGAGGAGGCTGGAGAATCTCTTTAGGATATAATTGTACTTTTTCTCGGCCTGGTGCTGTGGCCTAAATGTTGCAGTAGAATTCCAAGCTAAATTGTGATTAGAACCTCAGCTCCAAGGAGACTGACTCCACAAAAGCTGACTGAACAGGCCTGCAAGGACTCGGCCTGTCCAGGGGCCCGCGGTTGGCAGGCCCAGGCAGGGAGGAACAAAGTCAGGAGACCTCCTTTACCCAGGTGTGAAGAAAGGCGTCAGCTTTCAAAGCCCATCATGTC